AAAAAAAACATCAGCCTTGATACTACTTGGATTCAAACGAAATCAACTTTATTCGACCCATTTGTGGCCCGTAAAAGAATTTATTGTTTGATTTTTTCTTGGCTTTGTTAATAAAACAATGGGTTGTGAATGTTTGGGCTTAAGTTATAAGAAAAATAATGGGTTGTGGCTTATTTAAAATATTCTCTTACTAATTTTTTTATTGGGCTACATCAAGAAATCAGAATGGGCTTCGAAAAATTATGGACATTGTATATAAAGAAGTGTTTACTTATATTTGAATTTTCTTTCTTAAAACTTTTTTTTCAATGATTATGTTAGTAGTTTTTACTATTGTTTATATTTTTTATCATATAGTTTTTCGTGCAAATGCACGGGTAACAACTAGTGAACATAATTTCAGATTTTTTAAACAAGTAGAATTTCGAATTTTTTAAACAATTTCTATAAGTAAATTTTTTTGAATTCTCTCAGGTGGGAGCTTAGGGATTCTCTCAGGTGGGAGCTTAGGGATTCTTCGATTTCGTTTCCTTTTTGTTGTTGTTGATCATCGCATGGCTTCTTCTCAGTTGCTCCCCCTTTCTCTCATTTTCTACATGCTTCCTGCCTGAGTTTTGTGTCGCTTTCGTAGTTATGGTGGACACCCAAGAGGAGGATCTTTCTGATCAGCTGAGGGATTTTTCCCTTTCCGATAAAGAAGCGACCTATATCTACAATGCACAAACAGATATCAAATTAAGCGCTGAAGAATGCAATAGGAGCCTCTTCGGAAAAATTATCGGAGATAGAGCTGCGAGCTGGATTGGAGTGAAACGCACTATGGCTTCCATTTGGCGACTCAATCAAGCAATGGAAATTAAGGAATTGAGTCCAAACTATTTCCAGTTCATCTTCCAAAGTAGGGAGGATAAACTGAAGGTAGCCAATGGTATCAACTGGAGTTTCGAGAACCAGTATCTCATTCTCAAGGAATGGCAACACGGTATATCAAGTAAGCATTCTTGTTTTCAAGAGCTCAACATTTGGGTGCAAGTTACAAACACCCCCATTAACTGGTTGAGCACTGAGGTGGGGCTAAAAATAGGTAAAGTTTTCAAGAATGTTAAGAATGTTGTTCTAGCTAATGCTGGGAATCATGAAGGCAAATATCTTAGGCTTTTGGTTACAGTTCACTTGGATGAGCCTTTGCCTAGAGTTGTTAACATCAGACTCGGAGATCAAACAGCTCAGGTAAGATTCAAATATGAAAAACTTCAAAATCAATGTCACTACTGTGGTATGATTGGGCACTTGGATAGAAGCTGCACAAAACGGATTTCAGACATTAATAGCAATTCCCTCAAGGAAGGCCAATATGGAGATTTTATGAAAACGGCAGAAAACCAGAAATGGTTCGAAAATGCAAACTCAGGTTCCAGAGGCTCTCCATATACATAATCCCCCACTGGGTATGGGAACAGATCTCCTCCAAACACAGCATCTCAGCAAGCTGAAACCAATCAACAACTAATCCCTATTGCAGAAACCACACCATACAAAAATAAGGAGAAAGAACAGGATTCAGTTTCAGCTTCTCACACTCCTAAATCCAAAGGCCTATCAGTTGAATCAACTCTGCAAATGGTGGAGTCAAGCAAGGTAATGGAGTTTGATCCAACTCCCTGCACTCCAGTGGCAGTACTCCAAATTAGTGACACTGTTAATCAACTTTTCTCATCCATTGAAAACTTGGAGAAGGGACAGAAGCAACACAGGAAGACTTCTGAGAGAGTCACATTTTCCATTGTGACTGAACAAGACTCATTAAAGAAAAGACTTAGGACTCCTGAGGAAGAGCAACCAATCTCTCAACAACAGCTCATCCTAAGCCAGACAGCACCAAAGAAGTAGAAATAACAGGGACAAATTGAGAAGGTGGCGGCTGCCAACCTTGAATGGCACCCACAGGATAAATGTTAGCTGTGGTGTGGAATTGTAAAGGGCTGGGTGGGCCCTCTATAATTTTTCAATTGTGAGAGTTAAAAAAACTCATCACCCACATTTTCTTTTTCTCTCAGAAACAAAAAAGCAAAAATCTTTTGTTAAATGTATTGGTACTAAACTAGGATATGCAGATAAAATTTGTATTGTTGACCCCACTGGTCTTAGTGGTGGCTTATCATTTATTTTGGGATTGTGATGTTACCATT